CTCTCTCTCTCTCTCTCTCTCTCTCTCTCTCTCTCTCTCTCTCTCTCTCTACCACATATTACAATGTTCGACATGAATAATAAAAATGAAGTTTTGCGTCCCCGTAAAATCGGCGAACCACTTCGTTAAAACAAGAAGAAAATCGATATTTTTTTTGTAGAGATGCGGTTCTCTGTGCTGTGGCTAAAGAACTCACTTTTATATTAGTCGATTTCCTGGCGTCGACCCAAAGCTATTCGAAGAAATTCATTCAAATTTTCCCATTATGGCTTAACGCTGGTAAATGATCTGGTTTGGTGAATGATCTGGTGGTTCAAATTTTATCACATCATTTTTTTTTTCTCCTTTTCCGTTGGCGCTCATCGACAACGCATAAATATTGAATTGAAATTATCACATTTTTTTAAACGATTTTTGCCTTTGCGATCGCGCACGGACGCAATTAAGTCATAAAAATTGATGCATCGTTTAATTTGTTTTCGCAAATCGATGCTTTTAAGATTACATTGACTGAATTTGCATTTTGATGCTCATGCACAAATTCTCGCGATTCAAAATATTTGTGGCATGATAGCACTGGTATCTTAAGCGGACTCTCTTATCGATGTTTAATATTGTAAATTCGTAACGGCTTGATTATATTATAGCATTGGCATCAGACCCATTTCCGATTTTATGATCTTTTTTTTTCTTTGAATGGAGCAATCCCATTTCATTAGCACGGCATTTGTTTTATTTTCGATTGAAATATTCGGGCTGAATAAAAACAAAACGATTGGATTGAATTAGTGCAAATACATGTTTTCGGTTAATATTTTCTTTTCTCAGCTGTGGCGATTGAATAATGCCGACACATTTACACAACAAAACGTGACAAACTCCATCAATCGCTATTAAATGGTCGACGGCACAGCGGTCAATCTCAATTAGAGATGATTCAATGGGCCTAACATGAATTTCTGTTAAATTCCGGCAAAATGAGAGATCAGCGAAAAAATAAAATAAATGGAATTTTAATAGTTTATTAAGAAATTTGAGTCTATTCTTTTTCACTGATAACCGGATTAAAATCTTTCAGTAAAGCTAATCAAACAGCTTGCTTTCAATGGGATATTTCCACATCAAAATGCTTCGTCTGCGTTTGTCTTCCATTTTGGCCGATAAGATACGGAAGACGATCAGATCATGAATGGAAGCGTACGTTCCGATCACCAGTCTATTCTATTTGTGTGCTTTTATATCAGTTAAATTATGCCAAATATCAATTTGCGTAGAATTTTTTTTTTCTTCTAAAGGCTGGCGCAAGCCGAATCTAAAATTTATACACCGCTTCTTAATCTGAAATTGCTAATCGCGCATATTTCAATGCAAATATCCCAAAAGATATGCGGTGGGACAATAAAAAACCACTTTGGTTTTTAAGCTACGGTCAATTGTTTGCCTTGACTCTCGCATCGAAAATCATCATTTGGACCAAAGCATCCATTTGCAGATCGTCTCTCTATCGTTCTCGATGATGGTGACGATGCGGTAATGCGACAATGTGACGACGAACCAACCGAAATGAATATATCATCTATCGTAACATTCACTCACAGCTATCGAACACCTGAGCTCGTTATGTCCAAATCTTATCAATATTTGATGCTCAAAGTGTGTATTTTTTTAATATTTTCTTCGCTACTCTCTTCCGTGTTTCGCGGTTTGGACAAATCTCCCACTTCAGTTTCATATCTTGTTTGCCGTTCACAGTCACACAACTGTTTCTCGTTATGACGGTACGAAAGAATCGAATGGAAATAAACTTGAAAGTGTAAGAAATACATGGTCGAAACATTGCTCTTGTTGTGTCGACATTCGACACATACACACACTGGTTTCGTATCTCGTACAAAGCGATACGTTGAACCACTTTACGCGCTCCGACGAATGAAGATGTGAAAAGCGAACAAGCAAAAACAGCGGAAAAAAGAGAGAGCGCTCGACGCTGCTGAGATAATGCTGACTTCAGCGATGCGTATGTTTATTTTTGCTATTCAGTATCGACTAATCGTTCGGAGCACGCGCAGTTCAACGTCACGTTCATGTTGCATTTTTATGCGATACACACAAGCTTTTTATTCACTTCAATTTTCTGACCTCTTGTCAATTATTCTGCATTGATCATTGAGCAGGTGGATTTTTGTGTGGCAAATGGATTTGATTTGAATATTTGATGGTGAAATTTTTGTGCAAAGAATTTTCTCCTATAAAAAATATTTTGTACGTCGGAAGTGAGGCAAGTTTCAAATATTGATTGACTTTTCATCTAGTTTGATCATCAGCAATTGAAAGCTGATTGACACATTCATCGCTCGACGCTGAAAACGACCAACGAAACACATACAGTGAATTAAACGATGTGACTGGAGAAGTGTAATCCGTTAGTTTTTTTTCTCAACCCATTGCAAGCGAATAAAATCCTATTTGTTGCGGCATAATTACTGTTCATCAACCCGATTTTGCGAATTAAATTGCGTGTTATTGTGTTCAAATTACAAGAGAAGAAAAAAAGTTTTGAAACAATATTAAAAAAAAAAACGCTAGAAGAAAAGAGACTAACCGAGAGAACCGTGGCTAAAAAAGTGGTTGCGGGAAACTGCGGTGTAAAAAAGTGTTGACCCATAACCGGAGTGAAATAGGAAACAAAACGAATAATTAATGAAAAAGTAATTAAGTTGGAGAAGAAGCCTATAAATTGCGGAAAAAAAGGTCGGGCCAACGAGAGCAAGAAGAAAAAAGAATTCATATGAACAGTGAAGAGTAAAGAAAAGCAAATCTACTCGAATAGTAACCTTTTTCCGCTGGTGCATCCCGAGTGCAACGAAAATAGACAAAAATTCATAAGTGATATTTTTACGAGCATATATTTTGCGTCGAACAAAAAGCTCTTTTCAGCTTTTCATGTGTGTGTATGTAGAAAAAATGGGCATGCGTTTTACAATTTGTGTCCGATGTATGGCTGCTTAGTGTATTTCTGTTAAGCTGCTTAAACGATTACATTAGTGGAATAAAAATATTCACAATATGTTTATTTTTGTTTTTTAAATGTTCACAGTACGCGCTCATAAAATTTGTGTGTGTGTGTATATGATACAAACAATTTAGTGAACACTGAAACTGCATCGGGCTTAAAATACATTGAAGTGCTGCACATAAATGAATTATAAGACTGAAATTGAATAGAAAATGCCGAGCACTATTGCTGATTGTGACAAGTGGAATATGTTTAAATGAAATCATCCCCGTTACAGCAACTGAACAGAGTGCATATTAGAGAGTGAGCGAACGAGCGGGATGAGACTGAAAACCGAGTGAAGCGAATCAATTTTAAATTGCGAACGAAAATACATCCGAGCATTGGGCAATTAGCCGTGGAAAACTCTCATCATCATCGTAGTTGAGTGCTCATTTTGGTGTATAATGGTTTTTTTTATTCTGAAACGGGAAACATTTGCGTTGGATTCCTTTGACACCGCGTGTGAATTGAAATATTTGAAACAAATGTTTCAATGAAATAAAAGCGAATTATCCCCGATCTGCAATTGAAGTGAATGCGTGTGAGTGAGAGACCATCAAGTGCTCACATAAACTGGATTAACGGATTTTCATGTACTCGGTAAATTTCATCGCTCGACACACTGTGCTGAACCGTGCAAAAATATAAACTCAATAGAGAGATAGAGAAAATCCCGTTACGAAGAATTTTCCACCCATAGAATGATCGAATAACATTCGTTCCTTTTTTTTTCTATACACCACATTTTGTGTGCGTGTGTTGTGTGTGTGTTTTTTTTTAATTCAACATCAAACTGAAATTGATAAACGTGAACTGATATACAATTTATATTCAAATTGGGTTTTGCTTATTTTCGATACGAAAATACAACGATACAATAACGAACTGAATAGAAGGGAAGAAAAAAAATACCCAGAAATATCCACCGAGAATATTGAGACTGATTGGATTTTCTATGTTGCATTTGAATACATTTTCCTAGCAAAATTTCCATCAATGAATTTCTGAATGTATTTTATTATGGACAGAGATAGTTGTTGAATTTATCGCTTCGAGTATTATTATTGTGTTATGTGATTTGTCCGAAATTTTGGCCAAACAGAACCAAAACTAAACCGCATTCGATTCAACTCTTCATCAAACACCGACACACATACCCATACCCATACATTAAACAAAGTAATAAATTTCGATACGAACATATTGTGTGCATCAAGTGTTGTTATTTATCCAGAAGCATCCATTCAGCACCGATCGGATTGTACCGCCTGTTGACAGCCATTCATCACCATTTGGAATACAGCTACTGAACCCAACAACCATCGAACTACCGAATTAGTTCTATACATTTAATCACACATCTCTGGGTAAGCTACATGTTTTGGCAACATTTGCGTTTATTTATTTCCCATTCGATTACTGTTTGGCCATTGATTATTACCTTCCGGTGAGTTTGAAATTTGATGTTGCATTTGGAAATTCTTTGAATTCAAATGTTATACAAAGTTTTTTCTAGATTCGAATTTAAATTCAAATATCCACAAAATCTGATTTTATTGATTAAATTTCCTGGTAAAAACCTCTTTTGAGTACAAATAAATCACTTTTTTCGAGTCTCGTGTGGTTCTTTCTGACGATAGAACATTTCATTTTTTTCGCACAGTAAAAGATAGTTTTTCAATGAGTAATTAATCCAATGATTTTATATGCTTCATCTGTTAAGCCACACTTTCCGTATTTCAGGTTGTAAAACGCTATTGCTATTCCTGCTTTGTACCTTTCATTAACTCTCAGTTGGTGATCGAAGATAAAAGACTGGTTCTCTTCATTTTTTCATCGGAATCATTTCAATAAGAGAGTTTGATATCGTTGCAAATGCAAAATGGCTTTATCGCTTTGCCTTCATTTTTCTTGTGTCCATTCTGATTAAATTGCATCTAATTGAATTCTGTTCGTAGCAGCTTTCACATCTCGAACATGTGAATTGGATTTTGTAAATAAAGGAATGGAGGACACCAATCAAAGAATATCGATTAATAAAAGTCTCGATAATCGCATTTATGTATGCACATGATGAATTCTGATTCAATCATAAAATGATTCAACAATGTGTAGCAAACAAATCCATCTGATGATTAGATCATCAAAGGTACCATTGAAATAAAAATAGAGAGGAAGAGAGATAGCAGCTAACGACTCAATTAAAAGTGCATTTGAAAATAATAAATTACTTGTCATTATGGTGGTAATGGGTAAAATGTGCCGGTTAAAATGACCAAAAGCGTTTCCATTGGACCAGTGACACTGAAACAACTGAAACAAAGGAGGCTCAGCGACCATTTATCTTTCATCAAAATCATATTTATCACGATGCTTAATCAAATATTAATCAAGCGAATCGATGAATAAACGTTTTCGATTGCGACGTTCAATGGCGAACGACGAAAATAGCTATACGAACGGGCAAAAGGGAATAATGCGTATGTAAATCCCATATAAATTTGATTATGATATGCTGCATGACCGGATTAAAATTTAAAATTTGAAATTGACGTGAACCGCAATCAAAGCGCATTCACTTCGATTGGTCTTTGAAAAGCCATTTTCGATGCGATAATTGTGAAGAAACTCAAGTTCAAAAGGTTAATGCAATCACGTATTTTAATATTTGATAATAATAACCAAACGTGTTGACCACCTGGTAAACACTTGGTTTGTATGCATAATCACAGCCATGTTTGAGTCTCAATCGGATGGCTTACTTGACTCGTGCAGTAGCCGCATCTCAAGCAAATCCCAAACAATTTAATTATTGGCTGCAAACAAGCCGGAGCTTAGAAATGAGCAACAACACAACCGAATGTCATTCGGAACATTTGTCATTTTTAATACCTGCTCATCGAAATTGAATAAATTAAGCGTTTCCCAAACAAACTGGTCACACTGCGTGATGAAAAATGCGAAGATTTCGTGTTGTTTTCTTGTCTGTTGTGGGAAAATGCTTAATAATAATAAACTTTACTTTCTGTCGATGGCTCCATTATTTCGGGGATATTTCCCGTTTAATTTGAAGACTTATCGATCGAAACGATGATAATGACAAAGAAACCGCTTGATATCATCGTCCAAACCGAATTCCATGGGCGCATATGATTTTCATCGATTAATTTTCCGTAATCTTCATATTATGTGTCAATTTAGAATACATTTCGTTTCGTTTCAAACTCATTTACGTATGGCATAGATTCTTCCAGTGCTTCGAGTAAATGATAAAATCTCCAACACTTTGCAGATTTACGCATAGATCTTGAAAATGAAAGAAAAAAATGAGAATATGGCATTTGGGCCGAATGGAGAATGGTGAATGATGTGTTATGTGCTCAAAATTATGCAAAACTCATTTGTCGAAGCGAGAAACGTTTCTTACCTATTAAAATGTTATGCATATTCACACACACACACACACACACACATCCAACTTCCACGATGCGATCTGGTCTATTTGGAGCTGTGCAGTGAATGAGAAGCGACGGCAACAGCGGCCACGGCAGCGGCGACGAGCTAATTAGACGCTTGTTGAACTGAAATAAAAGCATGCATGTGCCGTTGCTTTGGTTTTGCTTCTCCACCACACTTTATAATGACTTGGAGAATAGTTAAACGCTTAAATTTGAAAACTTTAAAGTTTTCGGGTTTTCCACTGGTAAAATATATCATTTTCTTTGAGTGCTAACTTCTCGTTGCATGTCTCGGTTTTGAGATTTCCCATTGCAAGTCGTTTTTTTCTTCCGTTGGTTTGGTTTTGCAACTCGTGTAAATGCTTGAACTGGTCTTGCACTTGCCAAACTAATGATCAACTTCGAAAAGAAACATTATTGTTTTTCTTTTCCTCAGTACAATTTGAAATGCAGAAGGAGAAAAAAAATCGCAGAACAAACAAGAACATTCCACCGGTTTAATAATTTAAGTTTGCATGCATGTTATTATCGATTTTCTATTCCGACTACAACTCATCTGAATTGTGGATTGGCCAGCAAACGTGACTTGTGCAAATTCTATTTGCAACGAAACCTCTAAAATTACCAAACAATGCAAATACTACTTTAAATTGCACATTACCGCTTTCTGCCTGCTGTTTTCGACTCTTTTTTTTCGTTGCTTTTGCAGTGATTCAGTGATATAATTTTTATGATTTTACGTGAACAAAACAAAATGTTATGTTAGAAGCCTCAAAATGATCGATATGTTTTGAAACCGAGGTTAAACCGCAGAAAAATACACACTTTATGCTACAAGTGAAATGTAAACAATGGAATCAACATAGATAGAAAAAAAAAATTGAAAAAAAAACGGATAGAAATACTAGTGAATGCGCGGCAGCAGCGAGAGATATGAGTGCATTCAACGCAGCAAGTGCACCAGAAAAACCGTCGCAATCGTGCGAATTTATAAATTAATTAGCATTTGCTTGCGGTGAAAATGCCATTTTTGGTGTGGTTTTTTTTCGTTGTAGTTGGCTCGAAAAATGTTCTAGTTTTGCCGTATGATTTGAATAATGCACCATTGTGTTTGACGATGACGCACAAAAAAAATGGTTATGCATTTTAAATTCGTTCGGTGAACTTGCGAGAGAGTACGTTTTCTAACGGTGATAACCCATCGTATGTCACTGTAAATGGCTTCAAACGGCAACATCCATTCGCGGCAACTGAAACTGTACCTTCGAATGAAAAATAAGTTTGAAAGACTGATGACACGAAAAGCGGCATGCTTAAAAAATTGAATCTATTCTTAAGCCTCAAATAAAATCATTTGCGACGATGAATGGCATTGCTGAAGGAAAACCAGCATTTACACGAAAAATTGAAACGGAGATTTTTCCATCGTCGTCGTTGTTGTTGCAGCAGCAGCAGCAGTAGCAGCAGCAGCTTCCAGTCTGCGAATGGCATGTGTTGGGCAACTGGCAAATTATCATAAAAACAGACAAATTATTATGAAGAAAGAAATATACGATTTGTGCGCAATTTCGGTCGAATTGTGGTTTTTATGGCTTCAACTTGGTAATTCAATTGTACAGATGAAAATGCCGCTTGAGCGAGTGTGAGTTGCAGATAGAGCGAACGGGAGAGTCAAATGAATTGTACACCAAATGGTAGAACGAGAAAAAGTGCGAAAAGTGCGCCGCAAAGATGCATAAATTAAACAATGAGTGGGCGGTGTTTTTTTCTTTCTCTCTCTCTCTCCCCATACGATTTGCACATTTATTACATTCGACTTTGGCTTTAACGGAATCATTCCAAAAAAAAAAAACAAAACAGACAACGACTGCACTTCATTCGACGAATATCTCGTAAATATACGATTACGATCGCACCACAAATAAAACAACACAATAAACAAGAGCCTCACAAAAGAAATACCATATTGCACGCGTAAATTTACGCTGAACTTGTTTTTTTGTTGTTGTTTTGGACTCTCGTTTCGAGCCCAAAATTTCATATTCATAACAACTGATATTATCCCGTCGTGAGCTCGGACTTTATTTCATCACATATAAGTGTACACGCATGTATGCCAATTACGAGCGAATTTCGGTTGGATTGGCGTAAGGCAAGAGAGAGAGAGTGTGTATGCCTGTGCATGCGCCGCAATCAATTGAGTGGCGGCGTCCCGAATGGGGCGGTATTATTGAGCACTAAATTTGTTTTAATGATCGCCGCGTATCATGCGATAGCTGTATGTGGAATTAATGATCATGAATATGTTTTACTTAAAATCATTTGTCGCAGTGGCGGTGGAATTTATTTTGATGTGCATCGTTAAAAAAAAAGACAACCAAAAAAATGCAGCCCCACCAACTGTGCGCCTCTCGTTCTCGCTCACTTTGTTGAATGCTAATGAAATCATGTTTATCCGAAAGGAACGTGTTAATGAAATAAAAACGATGAACTTTTTTTTCGTCCATACTTATGAAAAGAACTGCACTAACTGACCACACCACAATATCGCAATAATGAACGTCTGAGTCGTCTTTTATTTTTTGTTCGTTTGTTTGTTTGTGAAAACTGCCAACTATTAACGGAATTTATTTAATTCTTATCGTCAATGTTTTTTATGAAACTAAAACATTTCGGATGCCAGTACAACGAGCAATTGTAATAAAATGCCACGGTTTATGGCCAATCAATAATTTTGACGTGGTGGAAATTGTCTCTTGATTGCCGCACAGGCATTCATTCGACATTAAAGTGAGATGTGATTATCGGTTGTGATTTTATACAATGGTTGGAAAATCATCGGTGGCAATGGTGATATGATTGCAGGAAATGCACTGTGGAATCGGGAATTTTGCCTGAGATTACAGCAGCAGCCTGGCATATGGTCTCTCCAATAAAATGATGAAATGCACGCGACTCCTGTTTGTACTGCCACATCGAATGGCCAAGCAAATGATGCTGGCTGCAATGTAAAGATTTGCTGCTCCGTTATTTTTCGTCATTTGGCCAATAATAAGACATGTGCATCTACATCTCCATACCGATGTGCAATAAAAACACACACACACAGTCCGCTCTAAGCGCACGAAGGAAGTAATTTAGAAATAATATAAAAATGTTTCTAAGTAATCTTTGTACGTTATACATAAATTGCATTCGTGCGAACCGGTTTGAACAGTTGGGGCCATTTGACAAATGGCATTGCGTTCTTCGTTCAGTTTGAGATGGTTGTGTTGTGCAAAACGTGTAAAATAATTAAATGTTCCAGTCATAAAGTCAACTGATAGCTGGTGATAATGGGCATTATTCTGCCCATAATCAATGTGTGTTCGTTGCTTAAGTTGTTGCCCGTGTACACAAACGACAACTTTGTACATGTGCCAATACGATTCGTACCATTTCCAAACCATTTCGAATTGCCAGCGCTTCACTTGATTTCAATGCGAAATTCTAAGCATTGAATGATGGCTTAGAAATGACATTTGAAATGTTTCATAGACGAATAACATATCTATATGTATCTGAATATAATTGACTGTTGCATCTGTGCGCATAGCGGACAAAGTGTTGATATCTTTGCATTGCAATCAATTAACAATCACTTGTGAACAGTTTTTCGCATTCAAACCGATTCTAACTCCGTTTCTTATCTTAAGTGTATAATTGCAGATTTGGCCTTTATTCACTGGAAGTAGCAATGCTTTTTTTTCTCTGTTCTGTTTTTGTTTTCATTTATTCCTCACTTCACGCCATCACTGCCATATACACAAACTATGATTAATTTATTGAACGTATCTACATATGAACAGAATTTTGACGCCGCTCTCATTTTTTTCCACTCTTCAATTCTCTTTTTTTTTGTGCTAGTTGCTTACAATTCATTCCAGTTTTGTTCTCAACGAGATTTCGAGCTCGAAAATTTCGTATGAAACGTCTTTGCAAGTCGCTTTGGATCAGTTTCAGTATACGTTAAAAAAAAAGAACCTTCAACGCTTTGTTTTGAACGTATGCTATTACACATTCACTCAGACGGAGCGTTCACCACATGTGTTTCTATGCCCCGTTCAGCTGTGTATCGATTCGATTCGTCTATTATCATACCGACCGACTCAAATGTATTTCATAATGGTATTTTTCGTTTCAATTTGGCTCCATTGCGCGAACGAAGTGGAATTACCTTCTCTTCCTTTTATGGATAAAACGAGCCTAACATTTTGCGGAGGCGATAGCCAGCAATTCTAAAAACCGCACCAAAAACAAAAACACAGACAATCACATGCGAATACCTAAACGTGCGCGTTATTTTGCCAAGACGAACTGCATTACATACCTGATAAATTGCAAACGCTTTGGGATTTTGATCATTTTTCATTTTATTTCATTTTGTTTTTATTCGATTCAAGTTTCGAGAAACAAACACTTATGTTATTGTTTCAATTTTTCACCGAGCTTGATGCAATGGCACAGCCAACCAACGCCTCCGAATGCACAGAATTATTCAGTGCGTTTCCATTAATTTGAGTATTCAATTACCATTTTGCAACGAACGCTTGTTGTTGACACTCTTTATTTCGATACACTTACCATCGCGCCGACGACCGGCGCCTTATATTTTAAATTGTAAATTCCATCGCATCAACGAATTGAAGAAAAAATATACATTTTGCAGTTTCATTTATTTTACCTCTTTATTTCGACTTCAGCGTTTTTTTTCCATATTTTTATTCGTTTTTTTTTCGGGGTAGAACAAAATGTTTTGTTGATAATGTTTGATCAATTGAGTCTTTTTCGATATGTTTCGATCGATTTTTGGATAAATAAACGTAATAATGAGAAAAAATGACAAAAAAAATCAAAGAATAAATGTAAAGAAAAAAGTTGAAAATGATAAGTATTGATGAAAATCCTCTTTTTTTCAAGTCTATCGAAAGACCTAAATAAGAAATTTGGTGTCTTCAGTGACGAAAAGCGCTGATTGCGCGAATGTTTTGACTTTGCGAATGTACGTTAGAATGAGTATCTAATCATCAAAACCGAAGTCTGCTAATTCGTCCAAATTGAACTCGCCCGCTCCAGTTCCACTGCGATTTTCGCTGAACGAGAGATCCTTCATTGGAAACAAAAAAAAGAAGAGCAAATCGATTGAAATAAGAACATTGATGCATGCAAAATAAGAATACCACGATTACACTTACACCAATGAATGATGCGTCGCCATCGAATGAGCTCGATTCGCCACGTTGTTCTCTTGCCTGAAAAACAAATGCGTACAAGTTGTTCAATCGTGTTTTTCGTATGAATAAAGTCTTTGCTTGGATTTTACATACCGAATTTGCTGGGTCGAAACCAGCATCGAACGAAAACTCGTCGAAATCAATGTTGTTACCAAATGTGGACATCTGAAAATTGGTGACAAAACAAATATGTTTTTGTTGGACAATTGAATTCAACTCAGTTACTCACATCATCATCGGTGTCGCTTCGGGATCGGTGAGAAAGTTCATTGACACCATGTCGAGCTGAGCGAGAAGAGTCTGTTTGTTCATTGGGCTTGTGAGTAGTTTCGTTGCCATCATGTGTGCGCTTCTTTGATGTACTTTCGACTGCAGAAGCTGTAGCCGGATTGACAGTCGTTTCCTTAAAATTGTAAACGGATAAATTTTTTTGCTTTGAACAATTCATTTGAATGGGCTTCATTTTCGTTTCATTACAAACCTTGGCGGTTGAAAACATTGACGACTGTTGGGGAGGAAAGTCCATACTGGAGAATGACTTGTCATCACCAATTCCGCGGAACTTTTTTTTTTTTGGTTTTAACAATTGAAATATTGTAACAGTGGTCGATATATTGAATTTAAATTTTACTCACTTGTTCATCGCTACGACCAGTGCGGTAATTGTGGTCACGTTGACCTGAGCGAGACATGCCTGGTTGTTCGTTTCGGCGATGTGTGTGTATACGCAATGTGCCCTCAACACTAGGTGGAGCAGAAGCTACAGTTGTAGCCGTTGCCTGAAAAATTTCCAACGAATAAATTCAAATAATTCAATGAAATGAGCTCATTTCACTCCAAACCTTGGCACTTGAAAACTTTGCTGGCGCTTTGGAAGCACTTTGACCGCTTGAGACTGAGAAACTGCCCGATCGGTTATCAGTGGTTTGATGGCGTGCATGTGTTTGAATTGGCGCAAATGCCGATGACTGATTCGAGTGACGTGATCGTTCATTCTCGCGATGCTGAACGTACAACTCCGATAAAACTTCACGTGGTGTAACGCCCGACTGTGACTACAAATAATGAATGGTTGATTGTGCATAATTGTTCGTCAAATTGTCCAATTGATATTTCAATTCCAAGAAAAAATGTCAAATAAAAAAAAACATCAATATTTTTTTCAACAAACCTGTGCAGTTGGCTGTGTGATCATACGCTTCTGTTCGGTTGGATATTCAATTTTCACCAAACTCAAAACGGGTTCAATGCGGCCACTTCGATTGCGTTCGGTTGAGCCAATTTCATTTTGCGGCAATTGACGCGCTGATTTTCGTGGCGATTCACGTTGTTCTTGTAGCAATTCATGTGGTGACTTTCGTGGCGGTTCGCGTGATGATGCACGGCTCGCGAATTGGCTACGATTCGATTCGTAGTGGGCTTTTTTGGCCGGCGACACTTGTTCGGGTCCACTTTCTTTGCGTTTGTGCGGAACAGGTGCCAATGGCGTAACGAACGTTGGCGCATTTGTGGCTTCGACCACATTTGATTCGTCAGAATGTTGTGAATGCTCTGGTCGCGCATAACTTGGATCATCTTGATCGGTCGGTTCATTTGGTGCGTGATTTGAAACGTTTTGGCTGTCAGCTTCTGTTGGTGAGCTGCTGCTGGTTTCATTTGGACCACTTGAATTCTGCAAGCAAATAACCCCATTGCTCAATATCTGATACAAAATCTTGAATTTCAATATTAAAACTTCCATTGGACCAATACTCACAGCTATTGCCAACAGCTGATCGATGTTTGGGCTCGATTCTTCGAAGCTATCGTCCATGATTTCAGGCAAATTTTCAACGACTTCCATTTTTTGCAAATGCAATGGTATCTCAGCCTGATTCGAAGAAAAAAAAATCAGCGGCTTCAGAATTAATGAATAAATTGACCGTTAAAAACATTTTTACCGTTAATTGTTCTGTAGCCGCTGTTGTGCTTGGCTGTACAATCGGCTGCTCTTCACTCGTTTCGGCAACTGGTGCAGTATCTTCTCCAAGTTCTGCCAACTGTAATGTTTTCCATTAAAAATGTACCGCAATTTAATTTCCGATTCTGTTGTTTCACAAATAGAGCACTCTTGCTGTCGTTTTACTTACGATTTGTTGTATCTCAGCTTCGTCATTGGCGATTTCGATTTCCAATTCACGAAAATTCGATTCGTACGATTCGAAAATTTGTTGGTTTTCTTTCTCGATTGCGTCAGTCTTTGCTTGTTCCGCAGCAAATTGACGATCGATTTCCTCGAGCTCTTTTTCGAGTAGTTCCAACCGTTTGCGTTTTGCATCCATGGCTCGGTCTATAAATCGAAAAGGAAAAACGAACAAAAAAAATTGAAAAGTCAAATGTTTGTCGGGCATTCCAAAAAATATTCTCTTTGGAATCAAAGAATTGAAGAAAAAAAAGCATTGTAATTACAATGGGGTAGTCGCATGAGTTCCGCTTCCAAACTAGCAATTCGCTTTTTGTGTCCATTTTCGCGTTTATTCGATAACTTTTGTCGATATCGGAGAATTTCTTCGACCGCACAATGAATATCTTGATGATATCCGGGGCCGACCAATGTACGCTCGAACTTCTTCATGCTGTGCAAAACAAAAATATGAATAATTTTTTTCGTCTGTGTTTTTTTCTTGTTTCGCGAAAAAGAAAAAAACATTACATTTTTTCGGTTTCGTCCATGTTGTGCGAGCATTGAGCAAAGAATTGTTGTAGCTTGTTCAATTCTTGCTGGTTGTCTTTTCCTCTTTCGAGTGCAGCTAACAAGTGTGGCGTTGAATTTCGTTCGATCGCTAGAAGATCATTTTCAATCAATATAAATGTGGAAACATTGGAATAACCAGACAACTGTGTGGCTAAGCAAAAATTCAAAGCCATTCCGAAAATTCAACTGTGCATGGTTTTCGCTCGAAACCAACTTATATCTGTCTAACGGATTTTTCTTTGACTCCCAAAATCACACTTTTTTTTCGCATGCAAATCGAATTAAAATCGGAAATCTCTTGCAATCGAGACGAAAAAAAAAAATATTTCTACATTTTTTGATCGCAACAGTTCAGAAAAAAAAAACTACAAATGAAAACCTTTCTGCCATTTTCGTGAAATCCTTTGTGTGATTCGAATAATGGAAAAATGGATCAACAATTATTTGTGTCTTACCTAAATCGAATTGCGCAACCATGATGTTATCATGAAGATTTTGCATTTCGTTTCTCAAACGTTGTATCTCCTCCATCTCTTCGTTTGCCATGATTACCGACTTTCACTTGTGTCTTGCTCGCTTTCAATTTCGTTTTCAATTAAATTGAATTTTTTTTTTCACATTGTCACTTTGACACTGGCTGTGATTTTCCTTCACTCGATCAAAACGTGTCTTCACTCGTTGAAACCAGAGCACCGAATGCGAAATGCTCGCCAGGATACGACTTAAAAATGTGCGCTGAGTAGCAACAAGTGGATATGCCTGCCGCTCGCACCAAATAACAGTGTGGCTATTTCATTCGCACACAATGAAATGTGTACCGTTTTCTTCGAATTGGCTACTGTGTGCAACACTCTCTCATTCACTCATTCACCCTTCAATCGGATATTGCACACTAAGCCGATTCCGCATCGGATCGGATTGCACGCGGCAACAGGCGACGAAAATGTGTTTCGGCCACACACAGTCAAGAAAGAGTTTCAAATGGCAGTGATTTTGTGTAAACGGAACAACATTCCAATCGAGCGTGTACCATGCATAGCCAACCCTGAGCAAATGAAGCGTGTTGCTTTGTATTGGTGTCACTGAACCAAATTCACATCGCCGCTATTGACTCGAGTAAAGCAAATGCGATTCCCGAAATTGGCGCGAATTGTGCACCATGCTCATAATTATCAACGGTTTACCGTTTGTTCTCATCAAATATAGGACGAAAAATTTCTAAATTTCTTTTTTTCACCCATTTTCATTCAAATATCTTACATGATCTTTTGTGGCTTATTGTGCAGCCTGTCTGCATTTGGCATTATTTGTACCGTTCTTAGCGATTTTAACAGCAAGAATCTATTCTTCTGCTGGAAAAAAAGGCAGACGAGAACCATTAGAACGATGCAAAAAGTTGTCGATTATGGCGATGGATGCGAATGTATGCACGTTTTTAATTGAATCTAATTCGTTGTGAAACACTTTGCACTTTTTTTCTATTACAGTTGCCAAGCAAAACAATGGAAGCAACCCGAAGAATGAGCTCAGATTTTTACCACGGTGATAAATGCACATTTCGAAGCGTGGTATGTTTATGTTCATGTCTATGCTGCTCTGAAGCTACGCTTCGAATAGTTTCGAATTAATGAGATGAATTATGAATCAGAAACACTCTCTGCATGAGGTCGAATATTGCTTGGCTTTAGGTTTATGACTTTTTTTTTCGTTGTTGTCGTCACGCATTGGTGACGATATACACACATTCGACATTTTTGTGTGTGGAATTTCAATATATCGATTTTGGTCGGCACTTTGAAACACCAAATCGAAAAAAATCAACAGATGAAGAAAAGAACACGCGCATAAACAAAACGTAAACAATTTAATTGAGTTCCATGTTATTTAGATGGTGTACGTGTTTATAGACGCTGGCATACTATTTTGGCTAAACAAACAATTTGATATCCAATCATGGCAATGGCTTCATAAAATGGACAAAACTCAGAGATTTTTTTTTTCAGCCCGACACTGAAAATTGTGGCTGGCTCATTAGAGTTCTTTTTTGTTAAGTGTTTGATCGATTTTGTCGAGCGTTTGTTTTAAAAGCGTCGATTGGAATTGTGACTGAAAAATGTGGTTAGATGTTTTGTGACCGTATTTGGTAAACGAAACACCTAATAATGCTTTTGCCACCTCGTTCACTTTCATATCGATCTTTTCACGCAAACGCTCTCTTCACCCAAGCAACGCGTAATTTATGGTTCGATTTTCACAACGGGAAACCCATTCGAAACCATAACAAAACGGCATCCGCGCTCTCGTCACTCATACCAATCGAGGCACAACTTTGAAACAACTGGTCTCTTGTTTGTGATCGAGTCCGCATGCAACAGACAAACGGTTCCTTTTGAGGTGCCATTTGTGATTGCTTCTTGTTCGAAAGAGAATCGAATCCATTTAGCCTAATTTAACAACAAAAGTGAATCGCACATTTTTGCTCAACACATTTCTGGATAAAGAGTTAACCTTTCGCAAGAGTGCCTTTGCCTATGGAATTTTGGTTGGGCTGGGTTTTTTTCTGGCAAAGAAATAGCTGTAAAAATTCGATAAATGCACACAGGTGGTGACTTTCGCTTAACTTAATGTTCGGTTCACTCGACTATCAACTCTCTTTTCTGTCGGTGTAACATTTGCAATGATATCATTTACCGTTTCGAAATGAAATAAATGGTTTGCAGCGAAACACACACAAAAAAGACACAGGAGAAGCATCAAAACAGGTAAGAGTCGGTGTGTTTGCATAAAATGCTCTGGTGAATGGGTGAAATGAAAAAGCCAGAGATCGAAATGTAACAATGGGAAAAGATGAAAAACCGAATCTGCACATTCATCATCACACATGCAAAAATCAAAAAAGCAACAGACAAAATGAAACGTACACACGACGTGCAAATAAACAACAACTGTGTGTAATTTATAACAGTACTAAAAGTTTTGATAAAAACAAATCATCATAAAAATGGTGAAGATGCAAAAGACGAATCGTGAAATGTATCACATACACACAGCTCGAGCTGTGATGCTGCAAGCGAGAGAAAGAAGAGACGGGGAAAAAAAGAAAAAGGAAGAATGAGCGTTCACTCGCTCGCTCGTTCGTCCAATAAATATTATGTCATGTGCGCAGGCAATGCATGTGGTTAAAAACGATGCAAAAGGGAAATTACTCTGGCCGAGAGCTCAACCGAATGGATATTCACATTTCGGCTGGTCGACAACAGCAGCAGAAGAGCAACGGTAAAGAAAGTGTTTTACGCGACTTTTGACCACACAGCAGAAATACAATTAAATGTTATTTGTTGTCACAATGCTCATTGTGCTCATTGTATGGGTGTGATGCTGTTGCTGTTAATCGCATAATTCTATCGTTGATAGCACCGGAACGACACATAACAAAATATACGGAGTATGTGGAAGTCCTCAGCGAAGAAAAAAGAGTGTCATACACACAGACACACACAATCCCCCGTAGCCAGTGTCCGTTCGAATGAATGCAGTATTTCATTATATTAAAACCTTGGCGATTGTACAAAAATCACGTTGCTATAATCATCTCGCAAACATGAAACCGAAAAGCGAGCATAACGACAACCATGTTGTCGACAACGACGACGACAAAAAAGCAGCAACGAAAACAAGCAAGAGAAATTAAAACAATGACCAGAGAAACGATAGCACATCACATGCTCTTGCCCTTCATTCCATTGTCGTGCTGAACCACTGGCCAAAACACTTCTAAATGGGCGCGCTCTGTTTTTGTCGATGTCGTTCGGTTTGCGAGCGAACGTGTATGTGTGAGTGTGTGTGTGTGTGTGTGTGTGTATGTGTATGTTTTGAAAACACGCTGACGATTTATGATGCTGAAAGGTTTGTGTTGAACGAACTGATGGAACTGAAACTCCATCCATCGCATCATGTGTACAGCAAAGAGCATATACAAAAACATTCATGACAAACCAACAGAAACGCTGGAAGAAAAAAATAATCAATTTGAAGAACAATGGACAGAGCTACAATGCCTTGCATTTTTAGCTAGCTCGTGTCCCAGCTACAGAATATAATGTGTGGAAAACCGATAGACAGGCAGAAGTAAAAACACAGATTTATTGAATTTTTGAGATGATGTGGGCGATTTTCGATGTGTGATGATTTCGGTAGTCATTTCAACTTGCCATTCGATTTTGGTTTTTGTGGGTGGCACTTTATAGTTTTGTGCCTGACGTAAAACAATGACCGGCATTTCATCTATCTCTCGCTTTCGTTTGCCGCTTAGAACACACAAAATCCGTTGGTTCATCAAACAATGTCATAGAATTTCTAATGGTCATTGTTTTAGTTCTCGCCTTGAGTTCGAACAATCTGATTTTTGTTCAAACACTCAACTGTATTTGCCTACAAACATAATAATCATACATATAATGACAGCCTCTGTTGCTCGCATGCCAAATTTTCTGTTTACAAAATCTATATTTATGAAGAAATGACTAATCTACCATCTTAATCGATCACCAAACCGGCACGTTTCAAACGAAAATCTCACAAAAACCGTCGTCTCTCACTCTCTTTTGTCTCAACACCGAAAAACCACAATGCCATTCATTTTATCAGGCAAAATTGATTTGTTCGGTTTTCTTTTCTCTCTCTCTCGTCTGTTGTTTCTTTGTCAACATTAATTGAATGCTCCCCGTTGATTCGTCTTTATGATAATCTAATATAACGGGCATATCTGAACAAATTGATTTCATTAGCAAACGAGAGGGAAAGAGAGAGAGAGAAAACAAAGCAAAAAAATCGATTTTGATTTTTGATTATCGTCGATTGTGTTTCAACACTATGCCTCTCGATCGGGTTCAATTTCATTTTGATGACTTTTAATTAAGATGTTTTTTTGCTCGCTTTGACATTCCTTTCCCATTTTTTTTTCTCTCTTCTCTCGACTGCTATCGAGTTTGCTAAGTTCTGTACGTCGTTTTTTTTCTTCTCCGTCGACGCATGTCTCGCTCGCCTGGAAATTATATTCTCGTTCATTAATTGGTATTACACTACACAATTATGTTGGGATTTGAATATTTCAGACGGTGAGCGACAAAGAACAACGGCTATCGTTATCAAGCATCTGGAACGATGCCGCTTTCATTGCGAACCAATTAAATTGTGTAGCGTCACCGTTGTCGCCGTCGAACGACTACAATCGGCTATTGCTTGTTTGTTGTTATCGAATTCTATGGCTAATCGAAATCCCGCCGAATGATCATCGACAACAACAAAAAAAAAAATTAATTAACCTCATAAATTTGCCGTCGAAAAAAGGTTTTTTTTTTATTAATATATTGCTTTATTGCCATTTCCATGGCTTCGTCACATCGCTTCACCGCCTTTGTTTGTCATCTCCGAAAACAATAACTTTGGGAACTGTACACCGGTAGTTACGGCTATGGAATCAATTTTTACACCTTTCATATTTCATACCGCTCCAAATCCACTATGATTTTTCTTCCTTCTCACCATTTCACACTCTTTCCATTTTTTTCCGATGCTTTCATGCATTTTTTCTGTTGTTACTCACGACGAGGAGAGAAAAAGCACATCGGTTGCAAAAATATGAAACGAAATTAAATTGAATTCGCTGTTTCTACCGGTTTCCGATGGTCATTTCTTTCGTTTTCTTT